AAGAGGGGAAAAAAAATTAAATGCAAAGCACAAATGACACTCCGAAAATAGGCAAAACAAGCCTAGTAACTAGATCGACTACAGGGATAAACTAATGCGATCAAGACAACATTTAAGTCTGTCCTTGTATAAGTTGTCCAATCTACTACAATGATGGTATCAGTTTGTCCGTCAAACGTCGGGTCCTTGTACTCTATATAACTTTCTATTACCTCATATTCTCGCAGCAGGAGACTTCGCAAATATTTGATGGTCGTGTCCACAAGCCCATCCATGAGTGTTTTGAGTGATGGTTGCTCCATGATCCTCCTTCGAAATTCTTGCCGTCGTCGTTCATCGATGTTGTCTGCATTGGAAACACTTACACTTGCAGAATAGTCATTGTAAATAAGGAAAGTTACTTTGCACCGATCTTGAACAGTTGCCGCTGCACAAAACAAGGTCATTACGTTGAAATTGTTGTGGCAGAATTTGACTGCTGAATAATACAATTCCGAAAAGGGTGCGAGCACTTCTCGCGGGTATGTTCTCGTTCCACAACACCTCCGACCGCAAATATACAGTGACTCTCGAGGAGAATGTTCCCAGTCTTCCGGTGGGGCATCCACACCTCTAACACTGAGTACTGCACTGTCAAAGATCACTTCAGATGTGAAGAAAACTGGACCCATATCATGCCATATATTTCTTCCCCCCACCATGTTACTTGGCGTCCATCCAGTGATCACAAATGGTTGAACCATTCTGCAACACATGAAAATATAGTTTAAATATATATAAATGAAAGCTCAATGACAACTAATACTAATACGTGTAAAGAAATACGATTAGCTCTTCTTCAAAACCTATTGAAAACCTACTGATCTTCATTATCGGGAAGTGAAAGGCATACCAATGCCTTCTCTCTGGCCGATTTTGGAATGTGCACTCCATTTTCTAAATGCAATGTCTTTGATGTCCAGCTCCACACAACACAGTCTACATGCTGCCACTGCTGTGATGTTGTGTTGTCTTTTTTCCACGTTTTCTTCCATGCGTTCGAATATTGCAAAGAAAGACGTTTAGCAATAGGTTGTCGCACCCAATATTCAATAAGAATATGATTGAAAGTTGACGACTTCATATCATTGTCTATATCGGAAATGACTCTACCCATCCATACAGGAACTCCCTCATTGATATCATCTTGGGAAGAACGCAAGAGAATGAATTGACCTTTTTCGACATCCACAACTGGGTTGAGCTCCGCCTTTGGACACTCATTGGCCGGTCCAACGAATAACAACTCCTTATTCTCATTGCTCTTCAAGAGGAAGGCAATATCAATATTATCTGGATCATCCTTCTTAATTTTGTCTTGTGAGGGCCAGAAGCCAGCCTTGAGTGAAGTTTTCGCAAACCCAGACCCGTAATGCTCCTCGACTGTCTCGAGGAAATTTTTCCAGTGTGAAAGAGCACTCTCCTTTGAGAAACTAACCTCATCTTTCATTCCCAACCACTCGTGCCGCTTGTTCTCCAACCATCCAACAAACGTTTTCATACCTTCAATTCCCGATTCGAAATCTGAATTCTTATCTTTACTAGGCAGAGAAACTGACGGCGGAACAGGTGATGGCACGAATGGCCATTCAGGTCCAGCATATGCTTTGTTTTCATCTCGTTTAAAGCAATATACTTAAGAAGACCATTCAAGAGAAGTGCAATACTCTTTCCACTGGAACACAGGATTGTCATCGTGCATATAAAACCTAAATGCATGTGGACGAGTATGACCGGTCAGTCTCTTGACCAGGAAGGGCTTAACAGAGCTCGCCAATCAGCAATTTCATCCATGAATGTGTACGATGAACGTTCTTTTTTAGAACTGGCAACGAGCTTGAAGAGGTCGAGCATGGTATATGCATCGTGCATTTTCAGTTTGCGAGAGAAATGACTGAAAGTGGCATCAACGTCCGTATGTGTATGTCCCACTAACATAAAACCGAATTCGACTTCTTTGAAGAAGTCAAATTTCACCAAAGATGCTGCGAGTGTCAAAACGTATCTGGTTTTGTTTTCTCTCCAACAGTTATCAGCTTGTATCCTCAGTTTAGGAGGCAAGTCGCTCGTCGCCTAGATGTCGCGGAGAACTTTCATAATGGATGACACTACAGCATTAGAATCATGTGGATAGCAAGGGTACCATGTGTGAACATTGACCGATGGTGAGCGACCGTGTGCAATAATAGTTGTTAGATTCGTTTTTAACATCGGAATATTTGCGAATGCCTTCGATTTGTTCTCTCCGCCAAAGTGTGGAATGCTGGTTTTGCTTTGGTCCATAACGTCAATGATGATGCACAAACTGTTGGAACCCGGTCTCTTCGACTCATCCTTCCCCACCTCATACGCAGCACGATGTTGGAGCTGCAAGTCCAAGTGTTTCTCGCGTAACGAAACAAAGTACTCACGCACACGCACGAACTTTGCAGAATTGATAGATTCTTTGTATTCAACACATTTCTCGCATTTCGCAAAGTTTTGATCAATGTCATGGAATTTCACATGCCAAAACTGCGTTCTCCACATGTTGTAAAAAACTTGCAAAGAAACACAAGGAGCACCCATGTTGTCGAATTGCGACTTTAGCAACTTATAAATATCAACCTTGTTATAGCAAGCAGACAATTTCAACACCAGTCTTGATTCCCCCTCTTTGGTCTTCATGTCATTGGGCATGGAATCTCCGTTGTCTCGCACGAAGGAGCTTAGTTTCCCGTACATCGTCGCATATGTTGCTGATTTGCGTCTGAGTCCCGTACTGCCATGCTCCGGCATATTATAGCCTTTTGACAAAGTCATCCTTTTTTTGAGCAATGTATTCCTACATATACCTAGTGTGAAACACCAAGCACTAATGCACACCTTTCGTCTCCCCACAATAGGTTGAACAATCTCCTTTTCATCTTCTATGATCTTCAACGTTTCAACCCACCACGCATCCCTACTTTGCTGGTTCTTAGAGTAGTATGCGCTCTGGACACCTTTGACGTCGTCCAGAGTCATTTGAGCGCAACACTCTCGCTTACAGCAAACCTGCCCATGCACACTCGCCAGTGTTTTTTTGGTGAGTTTTCTATGAACTGATTGCAGAATCTTCTTTGACCGCGGCATTCTAAGACAAAAAGTATAAGGACGCTTCTCTGAGGACAGACGTTTCGGCAAAATGTCACCGAAATCAGAGATCACGTCACAATTCTCATCGTCATTTTGACAACAGAGGTCACTGTTCCGGTCAGCGTACGTTTGCAGAAGATCGGTTTTATCTGGAAAACTATCAGCACTAGACGACATCGAAGCACTTGAATCTGAACCACCTTCATCACCCTCACCAAACAGAAGACCTGTGTACTCGAAATCTCGAAGTGAACTCCTCGGCACCCATACAACACGATCTACATCGGATGCGTCGTTGTCAGTAGAGGAGGCCTTACCCTCCTGACCTTCAGCACTCTCTGCATCACAGGTTCGAACCGGACATCGAAGGACGGGATACTTACTTTCATATGCAGTGTCCGCACACACAATATTTCGTGACCTCTTACGAGCAGGAGATTCCAGAACATTATCGACATGTTCGTGACCACTTCGAACATCTTGTGAACACATTGGCAGGTGCGGTGGAGGAAAATCCTCATTGAGCATTGTATTAGACGCCACACAGTCCATGCTTTCCAAGGTAGTGCTGCAAGCCTGCCATGGCATAGCATGCACACCACAAGCCATGCACGAGACCTGTCTGCGACAACAAAACAGCGGACCACTGTCAAAAGGCGAAAATCAGAGGTCAATGAAATGGAGCAGACAACCATCCCTACACAACAGCGAGAAACACAACCCTACAAATGACCCTGAGAAACACAGCCCTACATTGGACGGAGGGGAACAGGAAACATCCGAGAGAGGATAACACACGACCGGGGAATCTGGGCAGCAATCCTGTCATCAGGCCCAATCCGTGCCAAAGGCGGAATACACTCGAAAGAGTCTGTCAAAGTCTGAGATCGATCGACAGTGGGAAGCGTAGCACATGTCGAGTCGGGGCACCAGCAACCGGAAACACAGCGTGCAACAACATTGAAAAGGCGGAGATGTTGACGCGCAACAGGAAACGCAGCACATGTCACGTCGGGCACCAGCTTCGGAAAGGCATAGACCACGGCGCGCAAAACCCAGCGGGCACCAACAGCGAAACAGCGAAGACTCTGGCGCGCAGCATACAGCTTGCGCACGAGGGCATTGATAGGAAAGATTCTATATTACTCCAGGAACTACAGCGACTGGACACGCGTGGTAAGCGTGGTAATCACCACCCACGCAGAGCGGGCAGGAAAACTGCCACGAGTGAGCAGGAATACCATCGTGGCAACGCGACCGTACCATCGTGGCAAAGCGACCGCCTCGCCCAACATGTAAGGGTCCCCCGTCTCGATTCCCGGCACGCGTGGTACCCACCACCCACGCAGAGCGGGCAGGAAAACTGCCACGAGTGAGCAGGAAAACCATCGTGGCAACCCGACCGCCTCGCCCAACACGGAAGGGTCCCCCGTCTTGATTCCCGGGTACCAGACTCCGAGGATTTTAAGCAAAATTCGCGCAGAGTTCGTTCTACGGCGCACGACGGGTTTCCAGATAGCCAGGCTGAGAAGGCAAACGACTGCAGCAACGCCAATGTCGCGCCCAACACGACAGGAGCTCCATTGTATATTACAAGGTGGGGGTCGTGGCGCAATCTCGCAACAAGCAGTCGGTGCTACAAGAGACAAAAGACAGTCACTCGGACACTATATTCTGCTGGCGCAACTCGCACTAAACTCTGTGCAAGTCAAAACATAGGTAGGGGTCGACACGACCAAGACCGCGTTTGACCGTGGCGGACACGACGACCACCGTGCTCGTCATGACGGCCACCGTGTCAGACCCGACGACCATCGTGCCGGACACGACGACCATCGTAAACGATCGTGTCGTACACGAAGACGGCCGTGCTCGGTATGATGGCGGTCGTGTTCGACATGACGACGGCCGTGTTCGACACGACGTCGGTCACGACTACGACCGTGCACGACAACGAGCCGGACACGACGACGAGCGTGTTCGACACGATGGTGATCGTGTTCGACCCGACGACGATCGCGTTCGACACGACAAGGATCGTGCTCGACACGACAACCATCATGTTCGACACAACGATGACCGTGTCGGACACGACGACGATCGTGTTTGACACGACGCCCAGCGTGTTCGACACGACAACGATCGTGTTCAACACGATGACCATCGTGTTTGACACGACGACCAGAGTGTGGGACACGACAACGATCGTGTTCAACATGACGACCATCGTGTTTGACACGACGACCAGCATGTCGGACACGACAACGATCTTGATCAACACGACGACCATCGTGTACGACGATCGTGTTTGACACGACGAACAACGTGTGCGACATGACAACGACCGTGTTCAACACGAAGGCCATCGTGTTTGACACGACGACCAGTCTGTGGGACACGATAACGATCGTGTTCAACACGACGACGACCGTGTCGACCATCGTGTTCGACACGACGACGACTGCGGTGAAAGTATTCGAGAAAACTTGTTGACGTCACCGATAAACCAACACTGGACACGGAGGCTT